TTATTTATTAGGACGAATTAATATTGATGTAGGTATACCATGATTGATACTTTTGGAGTCGGTGCAGGCAAACTTTACATGTTTCATAATCTTGGCACCGACTCCAGAAGTATCAATCATGGTATACCTACATAAATATTAATTCGTCCTAATAAATAAGTAGGTAATTAGTAATTATTTTTCTACTTTTTAGTGTACCTAGGTTTTTTGGAGTCGGTTTTATTTTTTTTTTATAAAATTTTACTGATTTTTCATTAAGGTACTTTATGCTTTGAATTTATGAATGGGCAATCCAAAGCTCACCTTGCACTGCCGCAGGATGTTGTGTCGGTCGGAGCGCTTGCTCTCGATGCGCGCCTCAGTGGCGGCGATCTGCTTCTGAATACCGGCCACTTCCTTTTGCAGCGTCTGCACCTCTTTACGCGCCTGCGGAAAACATTCGCTTATGTTGGTAAATGAGACCGCAACCATTTAATAATTTATGTTGGGAAAATAAAATAAATACGTTTGTTAATAAAATAATATTTCCGAATTTCATTGGTATTCCCCGAAATATCAACAGCTTATAGAAACACGATTTACGGTTCGAAATAACAATCACAATTTTGTCGTTTATGTGTCGCGCGACCCATGACAGTCCGAGCGACCTGTCATTGGCCTATGCACGCGTTGGAGTGGTTGAAGCATAACGGTTAAAATTGAAGACGCAAAAAACAAAATGAGAGTCCAGTCCTAATGTAGCCACTTGTCCCCACCGATGCGGTCGATGACGTCAAATAACGCTGTCACCTTTCAGCTTTACATTAGTTGATGTTTTGTCCAATGCGCTCTAGATGGCGTTAACACAATATGGAAGAAAATCGTGAGATCGGCAGCGATCAACTACTAAAAATATTTTTTCCTAAACCAATAAAATCACGCTTGACAAAAAATGAGTTATAAAAAAGCTGCAAACAGTAAAAAGGTCATCATTTCAGCCACAGGACGTCCACCGCTGAACATAGGCCTCCCCCAATGACTTTCACATCGCACGGTTGGTAGCGGCCTGCATCCAGCGCCTTCCTGCTACCTTTATCAGGTCAAAGTCAAAGTCAAAGTCAAAATTTCTTTATTTGTTTAGACTAATAAATAGTTCTTACAAATCGTCATTTTGCTCTTAAGGAGCCTCTACACGTCTCATAATCTTTTTACCCTACCAGCGCTTCGAGACCAACATTTGGCAAGGGTCGTCGGTCCACCTTGTGGGTGGACGTCCCACGCTGCGTTTTCCGGTACGTGGCCAGTTCTGCGTACGCAGTGGAAGTGGCAGTGGGCACAGCCCTGCGCATTGCCACTTCAGCTTGCTGATCCGTCGGGCTATGTCAGCGACTTTAAAATCAAAATCAAAATTATCTTTATTTGTTTAGACTAATTAAATTAGTTCTTGCAAATCGTCAAATGCTCTTAAGGAGCCTATACATGTCTCATTCTTTTTTTGCCCTACCAGCGCTTCGAGACAAACATTTGGCAAGTGCTGAGAAGAAGCGCCGCAACAAACTCAGTCACCACTGTCTGCCGGTTGAAAAATATAAAAAAGTAGGAAGTTACATTAAGTTACATTTAGTTCGTAAAAATGTCACTTCTGGTCTTCTCACCAGTTTTTACATTTCAGGGGCCGTTTCAGGGGCCTCAAACTACCGCCCGCTTGCATCCAGCGATCGTACCTTCTCGAGCGCGTCGTCGGCGGCCTGCGAGCGCGCGCGCGCGGCGGCGCGGTCGGCCTTCAGCGCGTCGGCGCGCTTGAGCTCGCGGTCGATGTCCTGGCGCTGCTTGGCCTCCGCCTGGCGTCCGGCTTCCAGCTCGTCCTCGCCGTCCTGCACCGTGCGCTCCCAGCGAGTCACGTTCTCTGCCGAGGACAGTTGCGTTTGAGACGGAGTATTAAATCAGCGAAGAAAAAAAACAAGAAGTTTTCGACATCGCGTCGCGCTCGTTGCTGTACACCGCGTAACTTATGGCAGGGATAATGGAGAAGTTTCGTGATGTTGAAAACATAATTCACTGAATGCGATTAAAAACCAAAACTAAAAAGACGGTGAAGTTTTTTTATAAATCCATCAAGAAATGGCTGAGAAATTAATTATTTAATGGCCTGTAGAATAAATACAAATCATGTTTTATCAATCAAAAATAGTGCAAAAGGTAGAATAGCTTCTTAGGTTTAAAGAACAGTCTTTAGTTAAGTAAGTTTAATATAAATATTAAGAGATTTTCAACATATTATAAGAGGAGGCGCGCGCGCTCGCCACCCATCGCGAACTCTGCGCAGATGACGGGTACACGGTTGCACGTCACTTTTTCATACTAGGGGTTAAATTACCTACATATTTTCGCGTGAAACTCAAACATAGGCGGTGCCGTGACGTCACGCAATCCGTTCTTAATCACAATGCTTTGTTTTTTTTGTAATCCGAATGAGTGGTGCCGATAAAATGGCGCAAAATATTTGTTATGCGAAACTTTGGGGCCTTGTGATTTCTTTACTTGTAGATATATTTTCATGATTCTTTCACAATGATTATTACTTTTACTTATATTTTAAAACTTTATTAAAAGAAAAACAAAAAAAAATAGTATCTCGATTTGATAATTGGAGGTTTAATGAAAGCTGTTTTTTTCTGGTAATTGTTATGATAGGGCAATGGTAATCGTACTGCTCCATAATGGCTCACGCCCCATATACGTCAGCAGGCGTGTACTCACTCTGCGTGTCGCGCGAGCGCTCGAACTCGAGGTTGGAGGCGATGCGGTCGATGTGCGCCTCGAACTCCATGCGGCTCCTGCAGCTACGTCAGCAGGCGGGTACTCACTCTGCGTGTCGCGCGAGCGCTCGAACTCGAGGTTGGAGGCGATGCGGTCGATGTGCGCCTCGAACTCCATGCGGCTCCTGCAGCTACGTCAGCAGGCGGGTACTCACTCTGCGTGTCGCGCGAGCGCTCGAACTCGAGGTTGGAGGCGATGCGGTCGATGTGCGCCTCGAACTCCATGCGGCTCCTGCAGCTACGTCAGCAGGCGGGTACTCACTCTGCGTGTCGCGCGAGCGCTCGAACTCGAGGTTGGAGGCGATGCGGTCGATGTGCGCCTCGAACTCCATGCGGCTCCTGCAGCTACGTCAGCAGGCGGGTACTCACTCTGCGTGTCGCGCGAGCGCTCGAACTCGAGGTTGGAGGCGATGCGGTCGATGTGCGCCTCGAACTCCATGCGGCTCCTGCAGCTACGTCAGCAGGCGGGTACTCACTCTGCGTGTCGCGCGAGCGCTCGAACTCGAGGTTGGAGGCGATGCGGTCGATGTGCGCCTCGAACTCCATGCGGCTCCTGCAGCTACGTCAGCAGGCGGGTACTCACTCTGCGTGTCGCGCGAGCGCTCGAACTCGAGGTTGGAGGCGATGCGGTCGATGTGCGCCTCGAACTCCATGCGGCTCCTGCAGCTACGTCAGCAGGCGGGTACTCACTCTGCGTGTCGCGCGAGCGCTCGAACTCGAGGTTGGAGGCGATGCGGTCGATGTGCGCCTCGAACTCCATGCGGCTCCTGCAGCTACGTCAGCAGGCGGGTACTCACTCTGCGTGTCGCGCGAGCGCTCGAACTCGAGGTTGGAGGCGATGCGGTCGATGTGCGCCTCGAACTCCATGCGGCTCCTGCAGCTACGTCAGCAGGCGGGTACTCACTCTGCGTGTCGCGCGAGCGCTCGAACTCGAGGTTGGAGGCGATGCGGTCGATGTGCGCCTCGAACTCCATGCGGCGCTTGGCGCGCTCCTGCTGCGCGCGCAGCTCGCGCTCCTCGTACTGCCTGCGGGTTGAAGGACCTTGTTAGGCTAAGAACTCATGGCGCGATTTTCACCCGCGCCCGCGGCGGTTGCGGTCACGCAGTTTCTGTAGAATTCAGATACTTATGTAATGCACAACTCACGACGCGGTTTTGAACCGCAGCAGGCGCGGTTGTAATCGGGTCCCATTCGGCGGTTACGCCCGCGCTAAAACCGCCCGATACCTATCGGCGGGCGATCATTTTGTACCAGTAACTTAGCACGCGGCGCGATTTAAAATCGCGCCGTGAGTTCTTAGAATAACCTCGCGCAAATAACCGCTCCCGTGAGTTTTGAAATAAAACCGCAATTCCACAACCACCGCGGGCGCGGGTGTAAATCGCGCCGTGAGTTCTTAGCCTTAGGCCGAATTCGCATTACGGCTAAACCGCCGCGCTTTTTAACCGCATGATTTTATAACCAAATAAAACTAAATTTAAAGCAAGTGTCCGCACTGCGGTTTTTTCCCGCGACTGATTTTACGTACGTCTCGCGGTTTAGCGGTTACCCGTGCGCGGGAAAAAACCGTAGGGCGGACGTAGCATTACTGCTACGCGTCGTGACGTCACAGTTTATTAAAATGGGTCCACGAATGCGCGTGCATAAAAATAGGTCTGCCGAGGCGACTACTGATGTTTCATGGCTGTGCACAGATTAATAACTTGCACGTGGGCCAAACACAACGCTTATTAGGCAACGCCTAAAGTCGTACGCATGATTCATCTATAACAGCAACTGCATAATGTGCCCCCCCAACGTATGACTGTGATATTGCAATATCTTATTATTACACACTAAAACCCTGGCTTTCTTAAATAAATATCTGTAACCGTTATTTGGTGACTCGTACCGGAAAGCGCACCGTAGGACGTCCACTCACACATCCACAAGGTGGACCGACGGCATCATAAAGGTAGCGGGAAGACGCTGGATGCAGGCCGCCACCAACCGGCCATCGTGAAAATCATTGGGGGAGGCCTATGTCACAGAATAAGTAATAGTACAGGTACAGAAGGATTACTCCGCAAGACGATTTAAATAAATGCGAGTCTTGCTACGACGCGATACAGTGGAATTCAGCTCGCATAGCACTACGTACCTACAATTTTATTCACCTACAAGTTTTGTCTCTTTCTATCGCGTGCCTCTGAACTCTTCTTACGCTGTTAGGGTTGCTGTCTAGTAGTGTCCAGTAAAAAAATAATTAATCTACTTATTTGTAATGAGGTACGTATGTAGGTAAGTACGCATTCATTATGGAAAACCTTGGGAGAGGCCTTTGTCCAGCTGTGGACGTCATTTATTTTGGCTGAAACGAACGAACGGTTTTGTCTCTTTCTATCGCGTGCCTCTGAACTCTTCTTACGCTGTTAGGGTTGCTGTCTAGTAGTGTCCAGTAAAAAAATAATTAATCTACTTATTTGTAATGAGGTACGTATGTAGGTAAGTACGCATTCATTATGGAAAACCTTGGGAGAGGCCTTTGTCCAGCTGTGGACGTCATTTATTTTGGCTGAAACGAACGAACGCATTCTGAGCAATAGTCATGGTAGGTTAGGTTCCTATACTATCCTAAGAATTATTGATTACCTACATGGTCAACATACCTTTCAGCATCTTTGGGAAGCGAAAAAAAAGATAAATCCGGTAGATTTCTTTTCGAATTTAAACACCCGAACGCCGCACAATAATATTTCTTTCTCTTATGTCCATTTCTAAATAATACTTCGATCATAGAATTAGGTACTACAACGCACGCCAGCGACCTGACGGGCGCGCGCGTGACACTCGACTGATATAATACCCGCCGGCGGGGCGCTTCGCTGTAGGTAATTATCGGATGTACCGCGCGGAGTGAGCCAGGCCTGCCTATGTTCAGCAGTGGACGTCCTATGTCTGAAAATGATGATGATGATGAATTTGGTGAGTGGTACCGGATGTTGGCGACGCCGATGTCCCTGCAGAAGCCGCGGAAGACGACGTCCTCGACGTTGTTCATGTTCTCCTTGACCTGCTGGATCTTGGCGTCGCGCTCCAGGATCGTGTGCTCGATGCTCTCGATTTGCGGCTGCAATTCATTTATTTATTTATGTTAAAATGTATGAACTGTATTATGTATGTGACTTTGTTGGTGTACCTAATAAATAAATAAATAAATTTAAATTTTGCAAGTGAGCTTACAGATTAATCCGAAGCGAATTGATTCTACTGAAAATCACAAAAGGAAATGTAATCTGTTGACATTACAGCCACGATAGGCGGATAGGAACGTGACCGCGCGGGTTCGAATCCCACCGCGCCGCTCGACTATTGTGGTGAGCCCACTAGGAACACAAACATTTTACTAATAATCTTTAATAAGAAAAATGTGCTGTAACTGTATAATTTACGTAACTTTTCCGATTCTTCGATTTCCTTTTTTTGACCAGCAGACAAAGCAATATGTTTACCGAATAAATTGTTACTAATTTTATTTGAAGGTGTATGCGTAAACGGTGTAGGTATTTGCATAAATAAAATATTTGTATTTAAAATACTTTGTTGGCAATATTCAATTTCAGATAGAAATTGTTGAATTTCGAAGTGTTTCAGTGAAAGCAACATTGTATGTGTTTACAAAGGAATACAATAAATAAAATAGAATCAGGGTTCTATGTTGTGAAAATTGGAAAACAAAGCATTTTCGATAAAAATGTTCAGTTACTTACACCAAAATTATCCATTTTCCTTTCAAGCTCTGCAAGCTCCGCGTCGAGAGCTTTTATTTGTTTCAACTGTAACAAACACGCAATTTCGTTAAATTTTTGAATGATAAATCAGTGGAATAAAAAGAGGAAAGAAATAAAATAATTATTGTTGATATATTGCTACCATGTACCTTAATTTTGAGTTTCCGATGACCATGGCGCTTGCAACAGTGCCGAAATATCGGAAACTCAAAATTTAAGGTACATGGTAGCAATCCCGAATTAGTGACCAATAATATATTGTTAACCGGTAAGGAAAGGATTAATTAAGTTACCGTGGTGTCGCGGTCGGTGATGGCGTACTTGAGACGCGACTCGAGACCGCGGATCTGCGAGTCTACCGTCGTCAGCTCCGACTCCTTACGCGATTTCTTCATCGACTCGCGAAGTTCTTCTGTCAGTTTTTCCTGCGAAAAGATAATATCAAAATTTATTTATTTGTATAGACTAATAAATAGTACTTACAAATCGTCAAATATTTTGCCGCAACAAACGCCGAAAAGTTTTAGAAATTAAAGCATTTCTTTATCATCATCATCATCATTTCAGCCACAGAACGTCCACCGCTGAACATAGGCCTCCCCCAATGACTTCCACATCGCACAGTTGGTAGCGGCCTGCATCCAGCGCCTTCCTGCTATCTTTATCAGGTCGTCGGTCCACCTTGTGGGTGGACGTCTCACGCTGCGATTTCTGGTACGTGGCCTCCGCTCCATCGGACTCCACCTTGCTGCCCCATCGGCCGTCAGTTCTGCGTACTATGTGCCCTGCCCATTGCCACTTTATTTACTGATGCCATGGATTAGCATTTCTTTATGCCACACAAAAAATTAAGCAAAAGTTAGACATACCTTCTTGGCCTTCAACTGTGAAAGGTGCTTCTCGTCCCAGCGCTTGGCTTTGCGCGCCAAGTCCAAGGAGCCACCCGAGATGATGCCGGACTTCTGGTAGAACGTGCCGTCCAGAGCTAGCGCCTATAACACACATTTTACTCATTTTCAGAAACAGATTTTCACATATTGATACTGTTTTGTGAAAAATCTAAAAAAATAAAATAACGGTATTTTTATAGCCAGTGAGCTGCTGTAATAGTGACATTGGACGTAATGTCAATGTCACACTAGAAACGTGAGAGGACGGACGCGCGGACGACTCTGCGCGCTTTTGTACTAAGTGATGAATTGTAATTAAAATGAGGCAATATAATGTGAAGGTTAAGTACCCAGTGTTTAATTTATGAGAATAGATTTACCGGCCTCTAATAATAACTAACAGAGAATGAGTGTAAGGTTTACACATTACTATTCCGGCTGTAGTGGCCTTGCAGCTACCGAGTACGGTACCGACCGGATTTTACTGTACGGTACGGGAGGTTCCTGTACTATACGGGAGGGCACTGTACTGCACGGGTGAGTACTGAACTATAAGAGACGGTACTAACGGCACACTGGTGTACGGTACGGTACTGTAATGTAAGTACAGTAACTGCACGGGAGAGTACTGAACTATACGAAATGGTATTATAGTGCAGTGTTCCGCAAAGGGTGTACAGCGGCACACTAGTGTACCGTGGTCATTAGTTGGTGTGCCTCGGAAAAATAAGGTTATCTTATAAACTTATTTTTAGTAAGTAAGTAAGGGTAATGCCCGTGTTCACCATCAATCCCTAATTTTTAAGTGACCCCTATGAGAACAAAATTCCTGTCGTGTTACCATAGGGGTTACTTAAAAAGTAGGGATTGATGGTGAAAACGGACATAAGACTGATAAAGGTAATTACTTAAAATTGATTTTTCATGTGTGGTATACAAAAAGTTTCGTTTTCCAAGATGTACCAGTTTCCAAGATGTACAAGATGTACACAAAAAGTTTGCGGAACACTGCTATAGTGTACAGAGGGCTTAGTGTGAGTTTACATCAAACGTCCTCACTAGTGAGCGAGCGCATAAAAAAAGTCATTAAATGTATGACGGATTGCACAGCGCCCCTAGCGGAAATTTTTCAAGAACTAAAATTTAAATAACTATAGTTTTTTTTAACGCGCTCACGAGTGGGGACGATTAATGTAAACTCATACTCAGCCCACAACACAATACGGTACATACGTCGTATCGCGAGTTCTTGATGCGGTCGAGGTCGTAGGCCACGCGCGAGGCGTCCTCGGGCGTCTCGCAGACCAGCGCGTTGTTGGTCACGAACAGCACGGCGCGGTGGATGGCGGGCGGCTCAAAGCGCAGCACGTCGAACAGCAGCTTTACGTTCTTCGGCTCTTTGATGTCCCTGGAGACGAGAGAACGTCAATATCAGAGTAAATACAATAGAAAGAAAGAAAGAAAGATACATTTATTACAATGGACATCACACAAATACAGGCAATCACATAGACATGACAGTGGCACATAATAATAAAAGAAGAAAAAATAAAAACAAGAGTAAACTGAGCAGTGCCACCCATTCACCAACAAGATGCCCACTGCAACGGGACCCCACTCAGCATATGCCGTTGCCCACGGTGACGAAGGCCACGGCGCTGGTTTTCAGTGAAATGAGTAGGTCATCTTCATAGAAACGCACGGCCATGGTTTGTATGTGAGCGCGCCAACACGTATGCGGCGCGCACACATACAAACCGCGCTCGGTGCGTTTCTATGAAGATGACCTACTCATTTGTATTTACTCTCTCAATATACCCTACGGTTTATATTCGTTCGTTCGTTTCAGTCAATGACGTCAACTGCTGGACAAATGCCTCCCCCAAGGTTTTGTACAATGAACGGTCCTGCGCTGCCCGCATCCAGGTTCTTCCCGCGACCTTTACCAGGTCGTTGATCCACCTAGTAGGAGGTCTGCCCACGCTACGACTTCCAGCCCGTGGTCGCCGCTCGAGCTTATATTACCTAACCACAAAAGGAGATGTAGAAGAGATCTGGCTCGAAGGACCTATTCTAATTTGTTACGCTACATTCAAATAAAAATCTTTAAATACGTGGTGCGAAGAGCTGGTTTTTTCATTAGGGGGCGTCCATAAATTACGTGAGACAATTTTGGCCATTTTTCAACCCCCCCGCCCCCCTTGGTGAGATTTGGTGAGATTTTGCCTGACCCCCTCCCCCACCCCCCTAATCTCACGTGATATTTAATAAAATGCCTATTTTGCAATGTCTATGCTTCGAGTCTATTAGATTTATATGAAAAAATCAGTAACTCAGTGTCGTGCCACGCGCAGTGCAGGGTTCCGTAGCTTCCCGTCGTTTAGTAAGACAAGCAATTGCTTCAACCTAGGACCAGTTTTTTGATTCATAGTTAAAATAACTAATTGTTAAATTTTGCTACTAATGGTTAAATATTAATAAAATGTAAACTAATACTTAAAAAATGTACTAAAAGTCAAGTTAATCATTGTTATAAAAACATTTTTTTCTGTTATTTAACCACTTGTCATTAGACATCTGTCAAATTTGACTATTGGTTACTTTAACTACGAATACATAATATTTTCATACGTATGTAATGTCATTTTTTAGGGTTCCGTAGTCCTCGGCAGGAAGGTCTCGGGCTCCAGCATTCGCTCCTTGAGGACCTGGATGCAGCGCCGTCTCACCTGAGCCTCTCCCGCAGCGGCTTGGCCTGGATGTAGTCCAGCGGCAGGAAGGTCTCGGGCTCCAGCATTCGCTCCTTGAGGACCTGGATGCAGCGCCGTCTCACCTGAGCCTCTCCCGCAGCGGCTTGGCCTGGATGTAGTCCAGCGGCAGGAAGGTCTCGGGCTCCAGCATCCGCTCCTTGAGGACCTGGATGCAACGACGCGCCGTCTTCTCGGTGTCCACCACGATGGCCTCCATGTACTTGCCCAGCACTTTGGTGATGGCCACGTTGTAACGCTTGTGCGTCGGCTGGCACATGTTGATCATGCGGTCGTACTGCGGGCAAGGAGGGAATGAGAATGACTGACAGTTAACAACTAAGAAATATTACAAAATTACTGTTTTTACTATTTTATTATTACTAAAAATGTCTGAGATAAGAGAGGTCAAAACGACCGGGCGCAATCTGGCCGAGTGATGTCACAATAAGCCACGCTCAGTGGGGCGTGACCTACGTCANTATAGAAACAAATACGCGTGTGCTCACAGGCGCGTGGCGGTTCTGACTGATTTGCAACTTGAAGTTGTCGCGCGCTGTAGGTAATTATCTCGGCCGGCATAGGCGAGTGACGGAGGCCTGGTCATAGTAAGGCTTGTTTTAAACACGCGCGACAGCCGGGTGGTTTCTGGGTTTTCTTTGGCGAGGCCCTGAAGCGGTAACCGTGCCCTAAGGCCGAGTGACCGCGCGATTGTGGTTGTGTGAACTAGGCCTAATGCCCGGTTCCCACTACCACGGTAATACTATCATACAGAATTGTAACTTCATATAAACGGACGAAACACGAGCTTTCCTTCGAAATTCAAATCTCGGTATGCGCTCGACATGCAAAAGTCGGGGGTCTCGCGAATGTGGCACAGTAATAAACGGACGATGTGTTGTTTTTGAAACAGTTAGCGCTCTTTTTTTTTTATAAAAATAATTACAACTACATACCTATTTATACAGGGTGCTAGGTAAATAGGTTTGTAAGCTGACACTAGCCCAGGTTAACATATTATGCATATAAATGGTATGGTGAAGTCAGTGATACCATTATTTTATTTTTTTAAATTTTCATACAAAATAAAATTTATAAAATTAGATTTGTATGAAAATTAAAATTATTAAAATGATTGTATCAATTTTCTGACTTTATTATACCATTTATATGCACATGTTAACATGAGCTAGTGTCGGCTTATAAACCCATTTACCGAACACCCTGTATAATAATAAAGCATTTTGTACACCTCAGTCAAGGCGCATTCAATTTACGATCGCAAATTAAATTTTTAATTAAATCTGCTAATCACAAAATAACATGCATTTTATCCTATTTCATTCACTAAGCTATTATATTTGTCAAAATAAAATAAAAAATTACATTCACAAAACTAGATAGAAATTTTAAGTAGGCAGATGTAATGAAAATAGGGCCTGCAGGTGGGCAGCCCTATCGCATGTTGTCATTCCGTGACGTACCGCGCGGCTGTTGACATTTATTTCAAAAATATGGCCGAGTTGGAATACTGTATAGATAGTATTACCGTGCCACTACGCCAGAGCGGCAAATCTGCCGGACCAGTAAAACTCCCGGAAGAGCTAGATGCTGTACAATTTATATGAAGCTATTCACATTATCCCGGAACCGGCATTGTTACCGAGTGTTTTGTTACCGGACCGGCGCATTGTGAACGAGTTTGTCCCTTATCGGTCCTTAGCGTCATTCGGCTTGTATTTTTTGATAAAAGTAGACTCGTTAACTGTCCCATTTATTCTTGCGGGATCCGGTGTAGTTAGTTAGTTAGTTTTGCAGGGCAATCGAATACCGCACTTAGCCTCATGATAGGGCCATTGTGCGCGATTTGTGGTTTATCTTCCTACTCCAACCACCCCAGATCCCCCCAGAAGGCGAGCAGCCCGTCCAGGCTGCTGCAAGCTTCCTGTAGCGACGACGGTGATCGAAGAAATTGAGCCCGTTGTTCTTCCACGCTACTGCACTCCATGAGCACATGCTGCGGTGTTTCCTCTGCCTCCATGCACCCCCTGCACAGTGGGCTGTCTGTGACACCTATGTTGTATAGGTGCTTGTTTAGCATACAGTGTCCTGTTATGACACTTAAAACCTTGCGGATGCTGTCCCTGTTTAGTCTGATGAGGCTGCGGGAGAACTTTTTCGATACGTCCGGAACCGCATCTTTTGTTTGCCTGCATCCTTCGCTATTTTTCCATTCTGTGTGGTGTTTTTCTTCTGTTTTGGAACGCAGCCAGTTCCTGATCTGTGCTTGTGGTATCGGCAGTATTGGTTCCGGGCCAAATACTGTTGTGTCCGAACCTCTTTTTGCCAGTTCATCCGCTGCGTCGTTGCCTAAAGAGTTACTGTGCCCTTTGATCCATTGTAGGGTAACTCCATTTACAGCTGCAATGTCTTGGAGCGCTTCATGGCATTCCAATATAAGGGCCGTTGTTATTGTGTTGCTTTGTAGCGCTTGCAGTACGGATGCACTATCCGAGATAATTCTTATATTTAGACCTCGGATGTCTCTGGCTGTTACCGCCTGTGCTGCTTTGGTAATTCCAATGCATTCTGCTTGGAAAATTGTATTGTGTTTATCTAAAGTTGTTGATATTCTTATATTAAGATCATTCGAGAAGACACCAGCTCCTGTACCCGTTTGAGTTTTGGAGCCGTCCGTGTATATCCTAACTTCATTGATTCCAGAGTAATCTCGCGTCTCCGCTGTAAGTTGGATATCATATCTTCGGTCGAAAATGTGTTCACAGGGGATCCGGTGTAATGTGGACACTCTGCCCGTCTGGTAAATCTGCTGATCCGGCATAGTGGAAACGCGGCCTAAGGGTTTTGGCACTGTTAACTACAAGAAATAAATATCTACCGTAGGTTTGATGATTTGCAGTTTTTCCAATATTTCCAAAATTTACGTTGCTTGGCCGGCCGGCTGTTAAGTTGGAAGAGAATAAAGACACTTAGGCCGGCAATACACGGACCGCTTGAAGCAGTCAGGGTCGGCAGCTTCAAGCTGCGACTGCACAGTAAACTGCAGAGTTCTATGGACGCACATACACGAACCGCTCGAGCAGTTGCAACTGATTCGGGCGGTCGACAGCACGGTGAATTTTCATGGTGCGGTCAAACAGTCGCCAGCCATACACTGATTGCTCGAGCTGTCGACAGCTCTCGCGCAGTTACCTCCGCCCACTTTCTTCATTCCACGGCGCGCGCTTGTCNTCTGCCCGTCTGGTAAATCTGCTGATCCGGCATAGTGGAAACGCGGCCTAAGGGTTTTGGCACTGTTAACTACAAGAAATAAATATCTACCGTAGGTTTGATGATTTGCAGTTTTTCCAATATTTCCAAAATTTACGTTGCTTGGCCGGCCGGCTGTTAAGTTGGAAGAGAATAAAGACACTTAGGCCGGCAATACACGGACCGCTTGAAGCAGTCAGGGTCGGCAGCTTCAAGCTGCGACTGCACAGTAAACTGCAGAGTTCTATGGACGCACATACACGAACCGCTCGAGCAGTTGCAACTGATTCGGGCGGTCGACAGCACGGTGAATTTTCATGGTGCGGTCAAACAGTCGCCAGCCATACACTGATTGCTCGAGCTGTCGACAGCTCTCGCGCAGTTACCTCCGCCCACTTTCTTCATTCCACGGCGCGCGCTTGTCATTTGTTGAGCAGTTAATACCAACTGCTCGAGCAGTTAATACCAACTGCTCGAGCAGTTATCACTGGCAGCTTCAAGCTGTTGACTCTTGACTGCAAGAACCGTCCGTGTATGTTGATCACTGACTAACTGCTCGAGCTGTCCATGTATTGCCGGCCTTAGGAAAAAACCGAAGACTGCCGAGCGCGCCCGATCGTCCATCTTCAGCTGCCTTCACCGCTCTCCGTTCATGTACGGTGCCGCATGCGGCGTGCGGGAGATTTCTGGAACGCATGCCACAGGGCCCGCATTCGGGGAACCGTTTTCATTCGTCGATAGGGTCCAAATGGGGAGTCCGAGAGATTTCTAGAACGCGTGCCAGGGTATTTAAATGGCAATGCCAGATTTTGTATGGAAAGTGGCGTCTTTTTTTTTTCGCGCGGCCATCGACCAAACTTTGTTTTTTGATTACAAAATAGTGTAATAAACCAAACTTATTATTGCATGTATGTATACCTCTAAACTCAGTCTGAACTGAGTTAATGATTTTCATACTAGATTTGCTTTTTGTGCGTAAGTTTTGTAAGAAATTGGAACAAAATATTGCGCTATTTTTTTATTGCGCTGATTCTGCTCCATACTGATGTCTGGAGCCTTTAATGGATGGTATTGTTTGTTTACACATACAATGTCACTATTTTGTTGCAATTTCTTCTAACTTCTAATGCTCGTCACTCAGTTCAGACTAAGTTTAGAGGTATACATGTCATAGTAAGTTTGGTTTATTACACTATTTTGTAATAAAAAAACAAAGTTTGGTCGATGGCCGCGCGAAAAAAAAAGACGCCACCTTCCATACAAAATCTGGCATTGCCATTTAGGCGCGAACGGCACGTACCACGCCGGGTATGTCCCGCTTGAAGCTCTCGACGATCTCCTGCTTCTTGCGGCGGCGCGCCTCCTCGTGCTTGTCGACGCGCGCGTCGCCCAGCTGCCCCGCCACGTCTTCCAGCTGCGCCTGCAACTCGGCCGCGCGTCCGCGGCACTCGCCCACGTCGGCCTGCACAGATCACACTTCTCACTAGAGATGTAAATTGACTGAATATGACGGGTGAAAAACGGTCAATAAAAATAATAAGACGCCATAAAAGTTGACGTGCGCAGCGATGCGATATAGTAATTTTCAACACTACGTCTCACAACTACAACATCATCGACATCCAAAATATCCAATAAGTTCGCAACACGTCTTTGTTACTATTGGAATAAGGTTGTGTTGTCAACTAATTTACCATTTTGGGTGTCACGAACTATTTGATGCTGACTATAGCACAATATCTTATTCATAAATTCAAAGCACAGGTTAAGGAAATCCTTATGAAAAAAGGATACTACAAAGTAAACGATTATTTAAATGACAAGAGTGCGTGGAATTTACCTGCCTAGCTCGCACTTATTACGTGTCATGTAAGCTATAAATTACTGTATTGGATTGAAAAAGAGGCTAACAAAAGTGACTGAGTTTCTTCCGCCACTTCTCAGCACCAGCCCATATGTTGTCCCGAAGTGGTGGTAGGGCAAGCTATATTTGGGACGTGTATAAGTGCCCTGGAAAGGTCCTATGTACAGAATAAACTAATTCATTTCATTTCACCAGAACTAGCTGGTCATAGCGAAAGCATGGTACAGGCAGTCATAAGAGCAAAGCGACACCGCAAGACGGTTATTAGAACAAAACACCAACGCAAGACGGCCACGAGACCAAAGCGACACCGTCCAACGGGGTCGAGAAGTGGTATCGTACCTGTAGTTCGGCCCTCAATCGCCGCTGCTCTTCCAACGCTTGCTCCGAGCTCTTGATGTGCTCGTTTAGTTTTTCCACCCTCTTCATGGCTTCGTTACGTTCATGGCCCTGCAAAAAATGTGTAAATGTTACTATGATATATAAAAGTATGATGAGGGCTATTGTATTTGCCGGTTGGCGCCACTGCAATGTTCTGTAAGTGAGCGCCGAAGTGGTAGGAGAATTATCGTATCGAACTCGCTAGGATGGCGACATGACACTGTTGGTAGAGTGAGGTTGTCACCGGCACCGGTCAGTGGTGCCAAATAAATTATTTATCAGTTATAGGATTTTGCAACAAAAACATTTTTATAACGATAAACAGATATTTACCCTGCGCCCGAGCAGACGACGCCGCATCTCTTCAGTCTGCCCGCGACCATGACTCGTGCGACCGAGTTAAAACGTCGGGAGGGTAAATATCTGTTTACCGTTATAAGTATTTTTGTTGCAAAATCTCGAGAGTGATAAATAATTTATAGTAAAAATGCAATATAACAGTTAAAAGTGGTGCCAAATGTTTAGTATTATAAAATGACTAATAGCCGCCAACGACTTCGTACGCGAGGATCCCGTTTTATCCCCTTAGGGGTTCAATTTTGCAAAATTCCCGTCTTAGTAAGTCCCTATTTTCTAAAAGGAGCCCCCATGCAAAATTTGAGACTCCTAGCATTTGTAGTTTCTGAGATTTCGTGATGAACGAGTGAGTCAGTCAGTGAGAGTGACATAGGTATATTTTCATTATGAGTAGTTTAGAAACTTCGGAATGAGTTGCGTGGGCGCACCTTCTGTCGATGTTTGTTCTCGAACTCGCCCTTGCGGCGCAGCTCGTTGTCCAGGCGGTCCTGGTCGGCCTTCTGCTCGCGGTTCACGGAGTCCAGCTCCTGCAGGTAACGCGCCGCCTGCCGCGACGCCTCCATCTTCAGCTCCTCGTACTCGCGGATCTGCGATACATTATACAATAGAATCTTGATTATCTGGACTTCGATTCTTTACGGCTCTAATTACCGATTTTGATCCTGGACCCATCAATTCGGCACGGCGCCACCTGTGATACAGTTCAGCGCCGCCACCGTAACACGTTCAGACGTCGTCTTGGTTCATTGTTAAAAGAAATTGATTCACCCAATGATCTAAATGATGTATGTAGAACACTTTTTACAGTAAAAAGTTAATTATTGTTTGATTTTACTTTGAAATCGATTATCGGGATTTTCGATTATCCGGGATACCCCTGGTTTTAATTGATCCGGATAATCGGGATTCTACTGTACACTGTTATAGAGATAATATAAAGGTTGCGATGCGATATACAGGGTGTTTGGCGCATCGTGTGCCAAAATGATTTGGCGGATAGAATGGGTCATTTCCTATATTTTCAGCCCCCATAACACGTTCCATGCCAGGCGGCTACTTTTAAATTAATTTTTATAGTAATTTCACCAAAATACCCAAATCGCATCATTTAATTTCGATTAAAATAAAAACTACTAAGCGCAGCCCTAAAGTAAATATTTTGTTTTGACGTGCATTAATGTAGGGTTGCATCAAATCTAAATTTACTGGCAAATATCATCTAGTTTTTTTTAAATTCAGCTTTTAAGTTTTCAGAAAAGTTAAAAACGGACTGAACATTTAAGTTTACATGGGTATAATTTTTTTTTTAAAAGAGATAGCGATCTTCGGATTTTATCAAAACTTCTCTAGTCTATTCTCATTCAAACGGTATACTAATCTTGTTTAAATAATAACAACAACTTCACAAA